TTAAAGACTCGAGAGGCGGAGGTGGTGTAGTGACAAGTGGCGCGCTTACCACTCGCGCGGCGCCGGGTTCGAATCCCGGGTCGACTCCCGCCCAGGCCAACCAAGCCTTCTACCCTCCGGGGACGGTAAATTGGTACCAGATTCGTCTGGGAGGATAAAACACTGACTTGTACATCGGCTGGCCACCGCAAGTCATTGTATAGGCCACATCGCATTCAATAAGCCACTACGATTCTGAATGGAAGTAGAATGCGTGCCGCATCCCACAAAGGGATTGATCAACGGCGAAGACTTTATCCTTTATCCTTTAAAGACTCTCATTTTGGCGTGAAGCGGATCTGCCGGTAGGCCAAAAATTACGGTAATGAAAGGGCGGCGCGTGCACTTCTTGATTTGAACCGCAGCTAATTCCAAGTGTAGGCTTCGTGTTTTTATATTGTTAGTACGATACTTGCTCTTCACTGCCATTCTGTGGGATGTTAGTTTTCCTCCAGTGAGGAGTTATCGTGCCACAGAGTGAGGCGACTCAGAGATCCAGAGAGTCTGTATCAAGCAGAATAATAGGGTTCACTAAGTGACATACCAACTGCTACCATCTTGGGATTTAGTAAGTTCTCACGAGTTCACCATTAAATTCCGAACTCCAAGGATCATTCTCATATGGGGCATTATTCTAAACAGGAACTTTGATCTGGATCTCCCTCAAATCCAGCAGATGTCTTGCACTGAGGAACCTTCGGAAAGATTTCGCTGGAGATTTGAGCAGGGCAAAGTGGCACAAGATTATAAGTTCAGGTTGTCAGGCTGCGTACAGTACCCCCGAAAATTGCGCGTGAAGTTAAAAATGTTGCGTCGTGAACGCACACAATCGGGCGCACCGTAATCGGTTTAGTTACCCAAGTTTGAGGTGCGTTTAATAGCTCCTGTTACGGCTTTTGCATAACCGGCTGATGTACGTTTCATCTTCAACTCAGAACAAACGCGCATCGCGCGTTGTGAGGTGGGGAAGCTCCGGGGTGGAACTCCCGCCCGACTCCAGCAGGCACAGGCCCCGGGCATAGTACTCCACGCCGGAGCCAAGTGGTCCGCGTGGTTCCGTCCCGCCATGTGCATCCACGTCCAATACAATTAATCCCACGCCGCAGTTTCCGGGGTACTGTATGCAGCCTGACAACCTGAGCCTATAATTAAATCAAAGTGGTCGGCCAGTGAAGACGGCCATTTAAAAGCTGTCTACAGTAGTAATCAACTTTTATTGAACAGCCAGCCTATTGTCTTAATTCCAAAAAAGTGGATTAGTCTGTAAGGTACGAAGCGTCGATGAGATGAGAAAATCCTCGGGAAGCCTGCAGCAAATTCAACGCTGCCTATCTATATCAACGCGTTCTCTGAAAGATTCCTCTACTGTCTAAAAGCAGAGGGCGAGTACTTGTGGTTAGAGCGCTAGTGGTGTGCCTCTAGAGCTCCACATTGGTCCTAAGTGTTTGGAGTGTGTTATGAACGCCGGAAATTTCGTTGCGAATTTCAGATCGATGTGCTGGTCTCAACCGATTTAGCTTCACGTGGTCTCGATATTGAAGGAGTTCAAACAGTGAGTATTATTCGAAGACATTGGTATTTTAGCTTTTTACTAAACGTTTCGAATTCACGCCATGGTGTCATTAATACTATTTCAGGTTATAAATATGCATATGCCAAAGACAATAAAGCAGTATATTCACAGAGTTGGGCGAACAGCGCGAGCAGGACGAGCTGGAAGGTTTGCGGATGTTTCCAATTGTCCTTTGATTGCACGACTTCTCATTACGTTTTGTAACTTTATATAATCCTTTTGTCACCTGTCAACTCCTTCATTTTCCTCCTGTTGAGGCTAAATTTTTTAGTTGTATACGGGGAGTGATAGCTTCCAATTTCTTATCTGGGGCTTCCAATTTCGCGGAATTTGACAGTTTCTGAACTTGTCACCTTAGGATTATTTATCGCTCAAGATCTGAAAAAATATTTTTTGTGTTATGGTTAGTGGGCGAAACTTGTAGTGGCAATTCCTGCTACTTTCATAATGAAGAGCGGATCTTCAAAAGAAAACAAGTGTTGCTTGGGGAGATGCCCGTTGCATCGAGTACAGCGTGACGAAAGTGAGGTCAGTGTGGTACATCAGGGTCTAAATGACTATATATTTGGAAGCGCTACAATATGTTGAGCTAACTCGCAGGATCAGCTTTCATCCAGACCAACTCAGGCCATTTTCTCGGGTGACGGTAAATTGGTACCAGATTCGTCTGGGAGGATAAGAACACTGACTTGTACATCGGCTGGCCCCGCAAGTCATTGTATAGGCCACATCGCATTCAGTAAGCCACTACGATTCTGAATGGAAGTAGAATGCGTGCCGCAATCCTACAAGGGATTGATCAACGGCGGAGACTCTGTCCTTCATCTTTTTCAACCGGGGAGGCTGGCGCATCTGCCGTTATGACCGTTAGCCCCGAACTATCCACGAAGGGTAAAAGCAGTTATTTAACTCTCAATGCTTCAGCGCCTGCCCACCAAACCATTTCCGTAACTCCGCGGACTGAGTTCACCTCTCTAAAAGATGCAAATAAATTCAAATACGTGGTTGGTTAGCTTTGTCAAGTTAAAGGGATAAAGTTTCGCCGTTGATCAATCCCTTTGTGGTATGCGGCACGCATTCTACAGTCGCTGATCCCTCAGACTGGCACCAATTCGTAATTGCGTACTTCACTGGGACGCGACGGCGGCTGCAGTAGGAGTGGCGATCGATGCTGCATGATCAGCTGATTTCAGCGATTAATTTTTCTATTTTGCCTGTTATTCTGCTAACTAGAAGGAAAAGTGAGTTCATATTATTTACTCTAATTTGAGGTTTTATTGTATATTTTGCTTTCAGTCGCTATTTGACTGCAGTGACGGTGTTTTTACCCACTTTTTGATTTTGTTTAGGTTTTTTTTGTACTAATGAGGACACATAACGACACTGCCATGGAGAACAGTCCAACATTCAAAGCACAAACAAAAAAACCTAAACAAAATCAAAAAGTGGGTAAAAACACCGTCACTGCAGTCAAATAGCGACTGAAAGCAAAATATACAATAAAACCTCAAATTAGAGTAAATAATATGAACTCACTTTTCCTTCTAGTTAGCAGAATAACAGGCAAAATAGAAAAATTAATCGCTGAAATCAGGTGATCATGCAGCATCGATCGCCACTCCTACTGCAGCCGCCGTCGCGTCCCAGTGAAGTACGCAATTACGGATGGCCAGTCTGAGGGATCACGACTGTACTTTCCAGACAGAATCGTAGTGGCGTTATTGATGCATCTGTGGCCTATACAATGACTTGCGGTGGCCAGCCGATGTACAAGTCAGTGTTTTATCCTCCCAGACGAATCTGGTGTACCAATTCACCGTTCCCGGAGGGCTTAGAAGGCTCGGCCTGGGCTGGAGTCGGCCCGAGATTCGAACCCCGGACCGCGCGAGTGGTAAGCGCTCCACATGTCACTAGACCACCTCCGCCCTTGTCAAGTTAATTCGTTATTATTGCCACGTTTCACGGGTTTCGAAGGATTTTCTCGGCTGTCTTGTATTTGAATCGATCATAATTCAATATTCAGGACAAACCAGAAGTTCAATTCGCTTGGTCATATTTTTCAATAATGCTTGTTTACAGGTCAATTTCGTTAGTTGGGGAAGACGAAAGGAAGCTATTGAAAGAAATCATCAACACAAACCCTGACCGAACACTGAAGCAACGCATGGTGGCTCCCGGTGAGTTTCGATATTCACTTAATTGTGCAGCACAATTCAAAATGTGTTTCTTCTGTGCCACGATAGTTGTATGAATTTATGGAACAGAACAGAACCTCTCCATCTTGACGTAATGAAGCTCCGACCATCTGGAAATAGGTCACTCTAGTTGTGAAAAAGTTACTGCATATTAGGTATAAGTCAGGGGATTTAGAAGTTATATCGACGAGCACAAATTGACAGTAAAGAATTAATCCCAGCTAGTTGATTCGACATAATGCAAAACTTTCACTCACTTATTCAACTAGGTTTTGGTAAGAATGTCGCGTACGCGCCGCTTATGAATGCTGCGTTACCGCCATTGGGATCTCGTAACCAATCGAATATTAGTGTGCTGAAAGTCAATTTTCAGGGGATTGATGCTTCTTGGTCGACTTCCGAATGCTCGTTCATTTTTCCTTGACTTTTCAGAAGTAGTGGAAGCATATCGACAGCGAATTGACTCGCTTGAGGAGTCAATTCGACAGATTGACTTGGAAGAGAAGGAAGAAAAGGAGCTGAGGTTAGCCGAGTCCGCTATTCGAAAGACTGAAGAGAAGCTGGAAACGGGAACAACAGAACGGGAAGGTCGTGTGTGGTTCCAGAAGCCAACAGTCTCAGGTATCAGAGACACCTGTCTTCTTCAATTTTTGATAATAGTTCTCCGTCATGAGCAGTTTTTCCAACACGAGCATTTAATGAGTTGATAGAAGTGAAACAAGCTCTTCTCTAGCTCCGCTCTTCTTTTGCTTTCATTTTCTTAGCTATTATTCTTTCTCCTGGCCCCCTTTGTCACTTGTGGAAGCTGAGGTTGAAGTGTTGATTCCAGAACGAGAACGGCGACGAGCTGAAAAGAGAGCACAACGTAAAGAAGAAATGAAACGCAAGCAGGCCCAGAAGACGGTAATTGTCACCGTCATTGATCTCATTTCGATCAGTTCAGTGCAATTGTAAATTTCAGCCGGAGGAAATCAGACTTGAGCACGAGATGGCGTATCAGGCTCGTGAAGCGAAGAGAGCTCGTCGAGGGAAGAATCGTCGACTACGAGCTGTTGTTGAAGCCCCGATGAAGGTAAGAGAATTTTGCCATGATGTATGTGAGTTCAGATATGTTGAGACGACTTTTCGATCCTGCTTTGCGACCTTGAAAATCTTCAAATTTGAATCCGTTCATTAGCTCCCGCATTTTGGATTCAGTATTGATTTTACTCGAATTGGTGTTTATACTGTACACTGACCTCCTTGGATTCGATGCTTGCAGTGGGAGGTGAATGGGTCCTCAGCTGCAGCAGCGTCCCGTTTTCTTAGCTCCAGAGTGCACGGGAACAAGTCGAAGGGGACTCCTCCTTACACTGCCCGAGTTGCCGCACGACCAGCCATACGCCTGAGAGTGTCCACTTGTCTTCGCCTCTTACATCTGTTTGTTCTCTACCGCTCACTGCTTCGCTGCGAGAGGGGGGGGAGGCATTTTGCACTTTAACGACTTCCCATCGACGTGTCGACCCATCTAGACAGCCTCTTCTCGAGTTGACAGGTTTTACCATGATGGCTTGACGAGCTTGCTCCAGCAGACTTGTAAACCAGAACTAGTGAAGCAATTAAAGTGCAAAATGCCCCCCGCCGGCAAACTGCCCAAATCGTCTTTGAAGCGCTGATGGTAAAAGTTGAATGTGTGCAGATAACCCCACTCTGGACATTATTATTTACTGTCGTTATTAAATTCCAGACGAAGCGGAACGTTGCGAAGAAAAAGAGCATGCGCCTCTCAGATGTTCCTGCTGTAGAGGTAAGCTAGCTGATTGTCGTTTCGGTCGTTCTATTGTTCGCCTAGTGTCGTTGTTGTTTGATTAAACCTGCTGTAGCGGAGTGATTGTGATCAAATCAGCTCTTTAATGCTTTACAAACCTGTTTCAGGCCTCAACGCCGTCATCTTCAAAGAAGAACAAGAAGGTTCCCACAGGGAAAAAATCGTCTTTTACGTCTGCACTTACAGCCATCGGAAAACGAGCTGTCAAGAAGGCGCGGCATGGGTAAGGGCTCCTGCCTATGGAATTAGGCCTTATCGATTCCTGTTTATACTTTGGAAAGTAATGGGTTTTATAAATCTACAGGCAGCATAGCTGTAGGCATAGTGCAGCATCGTTGGGGAAAGTACATCAGAGACGGGGCGTACTTGATCGTTGGGAAGGTAGGGGAAGGGGTTGCATTCGGTTGATGGATTTTATATCTGGTCCTTATAAGCGAATTTTTTCCAATTGTTTGCCATTTTTTTTCGTGTCGTGTGCGCTTATATATCCCTTCCTTCTCTCTTCACCTTCCGGCTCAAAGGCACTTCTCTGGGGGGAGAACCGAAGAATTTTTTGGAGCCACCTGAAGCCGGCGCATTACCTCAATAGAATGTCCTTGTTTACCCTAGAAAATCATTTCCATGCAGACCTTGGGTAAAACTTGCTGGATATCTATTAGGTTGTCCGGAAAGTTCTCAGCGTTTTGGGTGTTTCACTTTAAACGATCGTAACTTTTTTAATACTCATCGGATTTAATCGAAATAGGCACCATTCGAATCAGCACACTTGCCAATGTGACAGCAGTCGAGAAATCCCATCAAAGTAAAAAACTGGGTGGTCGAAAATTCACGAAATCCACGAAGGCTTTTTTGCCTGGTCCTGATTGATGAAGTATTTTCAGTAAGGAGTCTCGGAAAAACGTTAGAAAAGCGTAATAGTCAGTTGGTGAAAGGCTAAAGAAGTATGGCGTTGAGATAGAACTTTCAACCCCCAATTCGTTCAATTTATGGATAGTGATTTGTGAAACGTGTGGGCGGGCGTTGTCATGCAAAGGAATCGGACCCTTTCTTTTGATAAGTGTTGGCTGCATCTGACAAAATTTTCGGTACAATTCGTCGATTCTTCACAGTAGGGTTCTGCTGTGATGGTTTAGCCTGGTGATAAAAAGTTATAGTGGATCACACCAGCCGATGACCACCAAGCCGTGACCAGAATCTTTTTTCGTGAGGGTTCGGCTTTGAAAATTACCTCGGTGGTTCGTCGAAATCCAACCACTGTCCGGAACGTCTCCTGTTATCATACATGACCCATTTTTCATCACAGGTGACAATTCGGCCCAAAAACAGGTCGTTTCTGCTGCGCAAAAGCAATGCAGAAGGAACCTCGAGACGTGCCGATTCCTGCCGGTCACTCCGATTGTGGGGCACCCAATTGTCGAGTTTTTCACCTTCCCAATGCGTTCCAGACCATCTGCAACAGTGGATTTGCCAAGGCCTAGCTCTTCTGCTATCTCTCGAACTGTTTGGGATGGGTCAGCCTCCAAAATCCCCCTAAAATCCTCGTCAGATATTGCTTTAGGTCGACCGCTATGAGGTTCACCTTCAAGGCTGAAATCTCCAGAACGAAATTTGTTGAGCCATTGCCGCACAGTGCTTTCTCTAGCACTATTGGGCCCCCACACCTGGTTAATTTGTTGAGCTGTTTCGATTGCGGATTGCCCCAATTTATAGTCGAAGAAAAAAATCGTCCGAAGTGCTCTTTTCACATGCTTGAAAAAATCTTGAAAAAGAGGGTTTTTAAGCAATGGTGAAACGGCAATTATACCATCAGATAGCGCAAGAAATTCTCTACAGGATGTGCTACTGAGAAGCAAGGCAGAATGAGTTTTTAATCAGCAGTGAATGTACAAAAAATAGGTGCACAAAACGCTGAGAACTTTCCGGACAACCTAATACTTAGCCATTAGAAAATCCTGCAATGCCTTCTCGATCAACATGTGATCTTCTGAGAGTAGAAAGGGTTTTTATTCCCGGGGTTTTTTTGCCAGTCCCGATTTTGGGAACCCAAGTCGCCACCACTTGCATAATAAGCTGCTGTAACTGGCGCACTTGCCTCTATAGTTGTTTTCGCTGCACACGCCGAGGCGTGTCAGGTAGCTGGGCTTAGCGTGGCGCAAACCAGTTTCCCGCCAAATTTTGTAGCTTGTCCGCTTCAACGTCTGGTGAAGTTCGGGTTGACGATGTGCCAAACCCAGGCCCTGACCAGCTCCAGCGTCCGCAAACGGCTGTACCTAGAAAGGCTAGAACCTCGCGGCCCTGGTGTGAGTAGAGTGAATTTGCGCTGATCTCACCGTTGGGTAGCGCAGACGTACATGACGGCATTGCCGGATGGTATCACACTCACTCCACAGCTTAGTCATGTGATGAGCTTAAGAGATTTGCGTAACTCGTCGTTACTATTCATTTCTAGGGATAAACTGACGAAGGATAAAGCTTTAATCTCTTCTAATGACGCGCGACGCATTACATATCTCTTCAGAAAAGAGATGGAATCAGAATGCGATTTGGCATGTAGCGTGAAACGTGGGGAATAGCTATCGTAATTGTCAGTGTTTCTATTCCCAAGACACGCCTGCTGCTTACCGACAAACTTCAAAAATATGGAAGGCTTGGTCTGCTCGGGCGAGATCCACAGGCCCTGCACGTAGTAAGCGGCGCTACTTACTGCCCTTGTCTTCAAGGATATTTTTATTTTCAGTGCTTCCAAATTTTTCCTTGCACTGTGTTTACCTGTGGGATCTTTCGTTCACATGTTTTCTGTTATGCGGTTGAAGGCAAACTGCACACTCACCTGCGTAGGTCCTAGTCCTTGCCATGTTTGAGGTGGACGGCTCCGCAGTGGCGTGCCACTTTCTCCGCTCCAAAATGCACAGGAGCGAGGCTGGAGGGTGGTCATCCCCGGGTGCCATCCAGTTAGAAGGCGAGTGAGAGGCGCAGACAGGTAAGGCGTTTGGACATGGTTAGACGTGGGCCCTAACTTCACTGACTGTGAAATAACTGTGTTCCATCACGAAAATGTATTTCCTCAGCTTCGCAGCTAAA